ATCAATGAATACCAGAAATTCAATAGAATGAGAAAGTTTCTCCCAACAACAATTTTCGATTAACAGTATGTCACTTAAATTATCTATTTTTTTTTAAATTACTTTTGGAATGTTAATTTAGATATATTAATTAAAATTTATTTTTTAATAGATGATAATTTTCAACCAATATCAAATGATAGTATTATCCAAAAAAGTTAGAATAGTGAATATTTCTATTACTAGTCATAATATTATAATTATTTTTTTAATATATTAGAACTATAATGTTAAAAAATTTAAGGTAAAGGATGAAGACCACAAAAAAAGAATCACATAATCAGTTAATACAATGTCTCAATTGTAATGTTTGGGTTTTGACCATTAAAAAGTACTAAAACAGATGATGTTAGTAAACGGACATTGTTCTCAATTTGTTGCAAACAATGTCTTGTCTTACTCCTTATTGCTCGTGAGCCTACACTGTTATTAGTTAAGCTTTTAAGTGAACCTTTATTTCTACGATATATAAAAGCATATAATTCTATCCTAGCTTTTACTTATATGAGTGCAGTGATTATTCTGTTCAAAATACATATGAGATGTATTGTTTCAAGGTCCATGGTGAAAGTTATCATCTTATTGGATCTGTACCACCATGTCATGGTGAGCCACCAAAGTTCTCTCGAATGTTTATATTTGATACAGCCAACGAGTTAAAAATCGCTTAATATCACACAATTAAGAATTTGTTAAGCCAAAATATGTCCAATGCTATATGATGTTATAATTTCAAGATAATTTTAGGTTTCCATAAGATAATGTTGACTTAAAATGTATCAAAACTTTTCTAATGGTTTGAAATACAAATTTTTTACAGATCATGACATTTTTAAATTTTTTCATACAAGATTTTGTACTAGAATGTATTCTCTTTGTTTGGAAATTTAAACATTTCATATCATGATAATATTTTTATAAACTTCTCATTATAAAAATATATCTACGTACCAACGATTGAGTTCTATTGATAAAATTGATCATATTGGTTATGATCATTGTTTAACTTCTTTTCAATATCAGTTGAAAAGTTGCCTTTTATATGTATGTATCTGTTGAGTTATACATTGTTACATTAATTGTAAACTATGAACTCAAATAGATATGTGTGTTAATTGCTTTGTACAGCTTTATTCATCTTTGTATTTTTTATATTTTTGAATGTCTTATCTATTTATTTTTTTACAATAGTAGTTATATTTTTAAAAAATTAAATATTTACATTTAAGTATCATCACTTTTTGTTATATATATGTTTACTTCTAAATATTTAAAATAATATAGAGTTTAATATACCTTATTTCCCCCACAATTTCGCGGGGGCTCGAGACCAAGTTTATATAATAAAACTATATAAGGCTCCACATATACATGGTTCATAATTTCCTTTTTATAAAACTAGTTTAAAAAAAACAAAAAAAAAGTGAACAAAATCTAATCACTTGGAAAAATAAATAATAATAACGTTAACATGAAATCTGAGAAATTCAAGGTTAGAAATTAGAGTAAAGATAAGAAATAAAAATATATATATTTTTGAAAGGATTAGTATGGATTACTTTTCATTTTTAATCCGACTTTTCGTTAGAGAAAACAGCATTCAATTGTCGGCGTTTTTAATCCGACGGAACAGTCGGACTGAATCAGAACTTTTAATAATTTGTGAAAAGCCTTGGGATACGAGAGTTGTGTCTGGGTAAGTTACTCTGCCTTCTCTGAGGCTATTTTCATGAGACAAATGTTATGATTTCCAGTCTGAATGGAAGATTTTGGCTGATTTGTGTTGTACTTGGAGCAAGATTATGGAGTATTTCGGTTGATTTTAACAATAATCATTGTTTTTAACCCGACAGAACAGTCGGACTGAATCGGAATTTTTAATAAATTTGTCAAAAGCCATCGGTAACGAGAGCTATGTCTGGGTAAGTTAATCTGCTTTCTTTGAGGCTATTTTCGTGACACAAATCTTATGATTTCCGGTCTGAATTGAAGATTTCGGTTGATTTGTTTGATATGTTTGTTGATATTCGCTGGGTTGAATATATGGGAAAACATAAAGTTTAACGTACATGTTCATATCCACAAATATTGATGTTAATTGAATTGGTTCAGTTATTTGGGGCAGCTTGTTCTGTTGAACGAAAGATATGTTTAATCATGTATCGTGGCAATAAATTTGGCTTCTCGCCTATGAAAAGATAACCATTACAAGGCGTACAATGTTGTTCGTGACTATGGACAAGACTATTGGTGAAATTGAACAAAACTATTGGTGACGACTGTAGACAAGACTATTAGTGAAATTGAACAAGATCCATAATCTTGTCGATATAAACCCATCTATCTGTAAACCCATTTATACCGGCCAGAAAATGACCATCTATAACCCATAATCTTGTCAATTTTGTACACGACCACCAAAAATAACATATGGGTTACATGTGTATGTGGACATGACTATAAAACAACGCTATAGATATGTAGTATCCACTGTTAGAAATAAATAGGCTTGTACACGGTTAATCATCACAAACTTTGACAGACAATGAGCTACCGTTTAGAATCTTGTCCATGTACACCCTCTGCACCAGCTATGGACAAGATTATTGGGGAATGGACAGTATGGATTACACCTGGTTATATGCTGTCAAGAACATATGGATGTATGTGGACTAGATTATAAAACAACTCTGTAAATATGTAACCGCATATAGACGTGACCATTAAGACAAGATCTAGTCATTGTTACGGAATAATGTAGATAGGTAAACATGACCATGTAACGCCTCTATAACTTGGTCTGTAGGTGACAAAGTGGATTTTCCATGTAAGAAGTGGTATTAACTTACAGATGGTTTGAATGGAATAGAACGTATTAACTATTGTAGATTGTGACCAGACTATGGGTTACAGATGGTTAATAAATAACCGGTGAAGGCTATAATAAGAACATCGGATGGTGATGTGTAGTGGACAAGATTATAGACACATTGCGGTAGATATGTAACGCTGATGATTAATGGTGGTTGTGTAATCTATGGATAAGAATATTGGATATTGTGGACAGTATGGGTGACAAATGATACGTGGACAAGATTATAAAACAATGCTGTAGATGTGTGGACTAACCATGAAACAATATTAGTCATGGTTATGGAATTGTGGACTTGACCACCTATAAATGGTGGTCATGTAGTCTATGGCCAAGACTATTGGAGACTGCGGACAGTATGGGTTACAGATGATTATTTGGTGGTCAGTGCAGATGACTAAGAAGTGATGTTAACTTACAGATGGTTTAAATGGAATAGAACGTATTAACTATTTCAAACTGTAACCAGAGTAGGGGTTACAGATAGTTAATATATGGGCGGTGAAGGCTATAAAAAGAACGCCGTAAATACATAAACGAGCTGGTGATGTGTAACGGGACGTTAACAATAGACACTACCATTGCTGAATATGTAGATGAGTATGGATTACATATAACTATCCTCTTGGATTAACTTACCGGTGGACAAAACTATAAGTCGTGGTCAAGTACACCATTGTCCGTTCTATAGAATTACCGTGGACAATTCTATAAGTTTTTTACTGTGTACACGACCATTACTGATAGATATTAATTAACCGGATTACCAGAGTATGTGTTATTACTATGGACTAGCCTATTGGTGACCATGTTTATCTGCAAGGTGGATAGACTAAAAATACAACGCTGTAGATATGTTTCGACCGGGTTATGGGGTTAATATATTGTTTATTCCGATATGTAATGGATATGACCAAGGTCGACATACAATTAGTTTGGGGTGTTGGGTTTGCGATGTAAAAACACGTTCGCTGTCACAATGAAAAATATATCGTATTTTGTAAATCTTGTGGACAAGTACAAATTGAAATTGTTATATGATTGGAGTGCGAAAACAAGGATACATCGTCAGCATCGCTGATTTTCTGAGTTAATACCGAGAGAATCCGGCGATGTATGAATCGGTACAGCCGAGAGAATCTAAGAAGATAGTTGAACCAAATGAAGCAGATGGCGATGAAGAAAGATAAACGATATCGAGGCATCTCCTATACTCTTCATATTGCCGGAATTTAAAATATAAACGGAATCGGAAAACCAGGTATGAAAAACACCGTAAGCATCTCGATAAGAGATAAACGAACGCGATACGAGAACGCCGGAATGACAAAACAGAAGATGATACAGTAAATATTTCTGGCAACGGCTTTATGTCGATAAAACTGGGTTACGTGAAATCAGTATAGTCGATGGAGGTTCAAATCGGTTTAGATCTATTCAAGAAATAATAGGGTTGGGACTTGGGAGTTTTGTGTCTTTACCCCTATGAAAGACACAAATAAATGCTATTTCATTTGAAAGTGTCAAAAACGTGTAAAGTGTCATTTGGAGTAAATATTTCTGTATAATTTGGTATATGTCAATTAGGAAAAAATTAGAAAAAAAAAAATAACAAAGAACCAGTTCTATCGTTGTAAACTGAACCGAGACCAAATAGATGTAATATAATGTTGCCGGTAGGTTCACAACTTATAACCAAACCCGAAAATCGGATCAGTTCGGTTCAGATAATTACCGCAGGCCTAGTTTATATACTCGCAAAAAATGTCGTAGAAATTAGCTCAACCAAAACGAACAAAAGTCAATTTCACGGATTCAGAGAGAAAAGAAACTCAATTAGTAGACTAGTAATTAGACTATAACCAACAAACCGAAAATTTCGTTCGGTTTAACAATATATGACCGAACCAAATTTAAATCGCAGCTTTTGGTAGAAATACTAAGTAACCATGTCGGTTTTATTGTTCAGCCAAAGCAGAACCGAATCACCTAATTAGATTCGGTTCGGTTCGGTTAAGGCTTTTCTCCCCCTTCCCTACCGCAAAGGTTTTACCAGAAAAGCTGAACACTTTAGGAGATAAAGAGAGAGAAAGCTCATACTTCAATGGCGGGAATGGCGATTCTCCGTCTTCCTTATGCTCCCATTCGTGTCTCCGCCTTCTTCCCTCTTTCGATTCTCTTTCCTTCACCGATCACCTCTAGAAACACCGCCGTTTGTTTCTGTTCGGCGTCGGAATTCGCCGACATCGTGCCTAAGGACGACTCAAAACGCGTAATCACTCTCATATCTTTCTTTTCGTTTGATCGAATTCAATTTAGGGTTTTCCATTTTCCGACTCGATTTCACCTTTTCAGGGTCCTCTCAAACCTGGGCTCTACCTCGTTGGAACTCCCATCGGTAATCTCGAAGATATTACTTTACGGTACTCTCAATTCTTCCATTTCCAATGTGCTTTCTAAATTTTTTACGATCCTTGCTTCAATTGGTTAGTATTCTAGTGACTTTGATTTCATCTTCTTCATGTTTTTGTGTGTGCATATGGTAGTGCCCTTCGTGTACTGAAATCTGCGGATGTGATACTCTCTGAGGACACGAGACATTCTGGGAAGTTGCTTCAGTACTACAACATTAAAGCTCAACTTGTAAGCTTTTTCTAAATACAAGTGTTGTTGTACTAGTAGTAATCGTTTTTCTTTCTTTTTATCAATGTGATGTTTTGAATTTATGAGGTTTAGGTTTTTAGCTCAGTTATCACAAGTTCAACGAGGCACAAAGAGAGCAGGCGGTGTTAGATCGATTGAAACAAGGAGAGATTGTGGCGCTTATCAGCGATGCAGGGACACCGGGAATTAGTGATCCTGGTACTCAACTTGTGAGTGCTAAAAACTTCATTTTCTCTGTATATAAGTTTGTCTATTGAGCTTTGTCAGACTCTGAAAATGTTCTGTAGTCACTTAAGCAGAGAGGTACCTTTCTATAATGTTTCTTTACAAATGGAGGGTATGAGAAACAACTGCTGTCATCTTTGTTTCCTCAGGCCAAGATGTGTGCGAAAGAGAAAATAGATGTCATTCCAATACCTGGGGCTTGTGCTGTAGTTGCTGCTCTTTCTGCCTCTGGTTTGGATACAGATGAGTTCACGTTCGGTAACTTCCACAATATACATTATTCGTTGTCTCAGCAATTTCGGTTAAACTGCAAAAGTCTTTAGTTTCTAAACAACTTGTTTTTTTATAGTTGGATTTCTTCCTAAGCATTCTAGAACAAGGAAGGATAGGCTGACTGTTTCATCGAATGAGACAAGAACACAAATCTTTTATGTTCCCCCTCATAAGCTGTCACAGTTTCTCGAAGAAACCACTCCTTACTTTGGTGAATTAAGGTTTATATCTTTCTTTGAATGTTTTAATCAAGTTATCTTAATATCTGGGCCTATCTGCTGACTTGATATCAATGCACATCCAATTCTTTTTCTCTCTTTTTCCTTGTTCCTTGTTGTGAAGATCTATGAAAACTTAGCCTTTCTCGATAGAATTACGGATAGCCAAGATAGTGATGTGATAACTTTTTATCTTCGATTGTTAGGAGCAATCCTGAAATAAAATTTATGTGGTGCAGGCAATGTGTAATAGCTCGAGAGATTACAAAGCTGCATGAAGAGGTAACATCCTTTATCACTCTATATGTGATATGCTAACATACATAAACAGATTTATGATAAACCCACTTATGAAAGATGTTCTCTCCTACTATAGTTTTGGAGGGGTTCGCTAGGGGAAGCCAAGCAAGAGTTTCTGATTCGCCAACCAAAAGGAGAAATCACGCTTTTGATTGAAGGAAAGGAAGAAACCAAACCTGAAAATCCAACGGATTCTCAACTTGAAGATGATTTAAGAGTGCTGATCTCTGAAGGACACAGCCTTTCCACGGTAACGTTTTTGTTATGAGAACTTCCCCCTTCTTGGAAACTAAGCATAAATCATACACTACACATATAGGATTGGATTATAGACATGGTCAGTTCCTGGAGATAGATATGTAACTTAATGATTCTGGATTTAACATCTAAACTTTGTCAGGCGGTGAAAACAGTGGCGGAAAGAACATCAATGAGAAAGAAATTGGTATATTCGTTGGCATTGAAGAAGTTCGGGAAGCATATTCAAGTAGAAGATGCGGATGAGTAGATGGGAAGCCATTGGAGGCATTAAAGCTTTTGCTCCGATGCCTTTTGCTTCAAACTCATCAATGTCAGGCTGTAAAGACTGTTGCGTTAAATGTGTCCCTCAAAACCCTTGAGCTTTGGATCTTGATTTGGTGGGTTTAGAGTATAGTAAGGGTTGTTTCTTTCCTCCAGATTGTTTTAGTTACTTGTTTGGTTTTTGGTGCTCAAAGATCAATTTTCGTTTCTCAGTCTTGAAATGTGCCTCTTTTTTTTTATTCTGTAGGATATACCAAGAGATAAAACCCATAGCCATAAACCATTTTTATTTATTAATTCTTCTTTTTGACATGTATGATTAAGAGAAAATTTTGTTTGTTTTTCGTAATATTTGGTTAAGTTAACCAAGTTTCTAATTCCTTTAGCCATCATTGAGTTGAAAACGTATAAAGTTGTAAAATTAAATTAATGTTATAAACTATAACTAAAATAAGATAAGATATACATATGTTATATATATGTATATACACGTATGGAAGAGAGACGAGAGGTCGAAAAAAAAAAGGAAGAGAGACGAGAGAGAAACTGAGTGAGGAGAATGAAGAGAGACGAGAGAGAGAATGAAATTTTCTCCTTTCTTTTTTTTTAACGCTGGGTTTATTATTAAATAACGGATTAATACAAAGTCACCAAAGGAAATTGGATACCAATAGGTACCATAAGGAAAAGACAACATAGAAATTCAACCCAATAAGAGGACAAAGTAAGCTCTATAGGGAAGAGGGGAAAGACGCTAGACGCCTTCGATACTGCGATAACCAACATAATTCCTTGAGCCACGAGGGTCACCATTCAGAGATTACTAGCCTCCATTTGTAAGAGACGTCTTAACCAAGCAGGGCCATAACGTGAGATATAGGATTGGTATCTCGCATCTCGGGTAACACTAGTAGCAATTTCATCTGCCGCCATATTTCCAAGAGGGCCCGAGTGCTCGAGACTCCAAGAGTTGAATGTCTGGAGTTGGTGCCAAATAACCGAGGTAAGGCCCAGAAACTGAGGGAATAGATGGGGTTTTAGGAAAGTTTCCCTGGCCTCAATACCACAAGATTCAAAGGAGATATGTCGTACCGGACGGAGCTCACTTAGATTGCACAAGCTTTCAGTAGCCCACGAGAAGCTCAGTAGTTCTGCTTCACGTTGGGAGGAAACATTGGCATACGCTCGTCTACTATGAAACAACGTTCTACCCTTGTCATCTCGGACAATCCACGACACCCCACAGGAAAGCGATTCTCTACACCACGAGGAACCAATGTTACACTTTAAGGAGTGTGCCAAGGGTTTCTTCCATGTACTATGTTCCCATCTGGGATTAGCCACCTTTCCGTCATCTTGGTCATTGATATGGAACCAGCTCTCTGCATCCTCCCTGGCCTTAAGAACAATAGAGTGAGCCTCATACCGAACTGATTCAAAGATAAGAGCGTTACGTGCTTTCCAAATTTGCCAAAGAATCCAAGGAAATGACAGCCTGTTCTTTCTAGGCAGCATTGGATTTCGGCTGCACTCGAAGAGGTGATATAGATTGAGCATTGCCGAGTTAGTGGCAAAGCCTGCTGCTGGGAAGGGAATACCTGAGATTTCCCAGACTGCTCTAGCACTGTCGCAAATGAACAAAACATGGCAAATACTCTCTGTTCCTTCACCACAAGAAGGACATCGAACATCCACTGGCAAGTTACGAGATCTAAGCCTCTCTTTTACCGCCAGAGCCCCAGCGAGTACTCTCCACATGAAGTGTTTGATTTTAGGGGAAGTTTTGGACTTCCAGAGCTTATTCCACAAGGCTTTTTCCACTGGAGGGATAACCGGACGGGTATTAGGTTCAGTGTATCTAGCATTTTCCAAAAGCCGGTATCCACTTTGAGATGTATATTTGCCACTCTTAGTCATACACCACACCTGGTCATCCCGCCTTGTCAGAGCAGATTGCAGTGCGAGTATTCTTGCCACATCCTCCTCAATGAAAGTCTGGTGAACCAATGGCACATTCCATTGTCCAGTATCGTCCATAAGGTCTGCTACCGACATAGTGAGGTCAATATTGGCTCCCTCCTGGTATCGAGGAATCCTTGGGATGGTGTCTGGGATCCAGTTGTCAATCCAAACCTTGGTTTCCCTGCCATTGCCAATAGTTTTAAGCATACCTTGAGTCAGAAGATCCTTACCAAACATGATGCTTCTCCAAGCATAAGAAGGTCTGTTTCCAGTTACACTGTCAAGGAATGAGCTATTCTTGAAGTACCGACTCTTGAGGATCCTCGCCAGCAAGGAGTCGGGGTTCGACCAAATCCTCCATGCCTGTTTACCCAGAAGAGCTTGGTTAAAGAGGGCGATATCATGGAAGCCCATCCCACCTTCTTCCTTACTTCTGCACAGCCTCTGCCATGCCACCCAGGATATCTTATTCCGGTTGTTCCCACTGCTCCACCAGAACTCGATCATTGCACTAGTGAGCTTCGTACACAGATCCTTTGACAGCCTAAAGCAAGACATGGCATACACCGGAAGGGCAAGGCATACTGATTTAAGAAGTATTTCCTTACCCCCTTGAGAAAGGGATTTAGCAAACCACCCTTTGAGGCGACCCTGGAGTTTTTCTCGTATAAAGCTGAGTAATTTACCATCACCACCTTCCTGCTCGATGCCAAGGACATTCTTAACTGAAACTTTCACATGAGCTGGGACCTTGGCACCGAATATCACAGACGACTTTGCCTGGTTAATCTCCTGACCGGATGCATCGCTGTTGAGCTTGAGGCAGCGAATTAACTCACCACTCTCTTCCACTGAGGCTCTACACATTAGGAGACTATCATCAGCAAAAAGGAGGTGGTGCACCGACGGTCCACCTGTAGAAAGCCGAATACCATGAAGCTTCCCTTCCGCTTCAGACATGTTGAGCGTATGCACCAGAGCTTCCGCACAAAGAATAAACAGGAAAGGGGACAAGGGATCTCCTTGTCTAATGCCCCTCTCAGGTTTGATGAAGCCATGAAGCTGACCATTTAGGAGCACCGAGTAAGTAACTGAGTTAATACAGGCCATGATCCATCGTATCCATTTGCAGGCGAAACCCATTTTCTCCATCAAGGTTTCTAAGAAACACCATTCAACTCTGTCGTAGGCCTTAGACATGTCTGTTTTAACTGCCATGAAGGTATCCGCCACTGAAGGGTTAGTCCTCAAACCATGAACCATCTCGTGACCCACAATAATATTGTCCGAGATTAAGCGTCCAGAAACAAAAGCACCTTGAGTATCTGAGACGATCGTCGGAAGAAAGGGTTTGAGGCGGTCACATAAGATCTTGGAGATGATCTTATATTGGACCGAACACAAGCTGATTGGTCGCATATCCTTCATTACCGTGGGGTTCGTAATCTTAGGGATGAGGCAGAGCTGCGTGTGATTCCATCCCAGAGGAAGAACAGCAGACTCAAAGAAGTTATGAATCTCGCGTGTTACTGCAGGTCCAACTGTATTCCAGAATCTCTGGTAGAAGATACCCGACAGGCCATCCTCTCCAGGTGCACTACTACCCTTGACTGCAAAGGCCGCTCGTTTGATTTCGTCATCTGTTATCCTCCGTGTGAGGGAGGCATTCATTTCCGGAGAGACACGTTCATTAAAACCAGCGAATAATGACTCCAAGTCATAAGGGTTGTTACTCATGAACAGCTCTCTAAAGTACTCCACAGCTATATTACCTTTGGAGCCTTCTGAAAATTGCTCTCTGCCTTGATCATCTTTGAGCATTAATACCCTATTCTTTGCCTTTTTCCCTTTTGACACAGTTGTAGAAATATGTAGTATTTTTATCTCCTGATTTCAGCCACAACTCACGACTTCGCTGTTTCCAGAAGGACTCTTCGTCCCGATGGGCTTCAGCAAGCTCCAACCGATACTTCCGCATAAGATCCGGGTTAGGGGATGATTTCGCAATCTCCTTTTCCAGGTCTTGAGAGAGGCGCTGAATTCTTGTCTGGGAATTGAGATTATTCACTCTCTTCCACCTCGACAGTTCCCGACGGCACCGGTTGATTCTGTCCAAAAGAGGCGTATTATCATTAGTACTTAGCTCTCCCCATCCCCGCTTAATAACCTCCTCAATACCCTCACTATCAGCCATTCTTTTATCAAAGAAGAAGCGCCCTCTTGCCAGCTGTTCATCTTCATAAGCAAACTTGACCAGAATGGGACGATGATCTGATCCCAGCATCTCCAAGTACTCCATCCTGGACTGAGGGAACATCTGGAACCATTCATCATTCCCGAAGCTTCTATCTAGTCTACATTGGATCCACACTCGGTCACGCCAGCCAGCCCAGGAGAAGGAATTCCCAACACTATGGAGTTCTGTTACTTTGCAGTTCTCAGCCATATTTCGGAAATCCCAAAAGGTGGATTCTCTTCTTTCCTCACCACCAAGTTTCTCCTCGTTGTTCATTAATTCGTTGAAATCTCCAAGTAACATCCAGGCCTCATCCCTCCCTAGTCCAATATCTGAGAGCCGATCCCAAACAAGGTGCCTTTGAGAGCGGACTGGATCACCATATATGCAGGAGAGAAAGAACTCAATCGATCCCATCTTGATCCGGAGATCAATGATACGTTTATCCATGGACAACACTGTCACCTTGTAAGTCTTCTTCCACATCACCGCCAAACCACCACTCAAGCCAATTGGATCAACCGTAACCATCTCATCGTACCCCAAACTCTCCTTCAAACCCACCATATAGTTATGTTGTTGTTTAGTTTCCATCAAGAAAATGAGATCCGGGAAAAGTTTCTTCCGAAACTCCCGGAGTCGTTAAACTGTCTCGGTGCTTCCTGCTCCTCGACAGTTCCAACTCATTATACTCATTGGGACTGCAGCGGCTTCAAACTGGAAGCCACTGTCTTTTCGCTGGGTTTAGGAGATTTGGAAGGAGAGGATACAGAAGGAGGACCAGCTTTCCTCTTCGACATCCCTTCCTTGATCGTGTTTTCCTGCAAGAGACCATTTTCTGTGGGCGTACTGATATTTGACCGAGGTCTTCTCTTCCAGGCTTGAGGTCTGCGTCTGTATTTCCTGCCAGTCATCGAGTTCCCGGACGTTAAGGCTTGTGTACCGGAGCCTAACCGAAAAACCGTTGGAACTCGAGTGGGAGCAGTAAGAGGGAAGCTATGCGTCGTGGAGTTTTCCGTATCAGAGTCTCCAAATGGATTTTGGCCCGGAGCCGAGAATATCGGTCTCTCATTGTTGATATTTCGACGCTTAAGTCTGTCTGAGGAATCCTCAAATCCAAAAACATGTCCTTTTCCTTTGTCCAAATGGGTGGTGAACACGGGTAACTTTACCATAGATTCATCAGTCGCCTCCCGGGTTGATTGTTGTACCCTTTCGATTCGAACAAGCTTGTCTGCATCCTCAACGTGCGTTACCAATCGTAGATTCGATTTTTGTCCTTCTCGTGAGGGCCCAGGTAACAAAGGGGAAAAGCCAGGAGGAGCCTCCAATGCTTTGTTGGTGGTAACTGGTGCCGTCAACAATACAGAGTTAATGTTTCGTCTGGCTTCCAGAGAGGCTCGGAGGTAAGGATTTCCCCTGGGCTGAGATTTACGGAGCTGAGGGCAAGAGCTCTTTTCATGAGTAAGTCTCAGACAATGAAAACATTTCTTCCTCAATTTCTCGTACTTGTACTCGATCACAACTCGCTCACCAGTGGGTAAGTTTAGATCCTTGAAATCTCTTGCCGGTTTGGAGATATCAAAAGTCACTCTAGCTCGTACAAATTCCGTTTTCTGAGATCGCTTGGGGTCATATGCAATCTCCTCCGGTTGACCAACAGCCTTAGCCAGCTCAAACATTGTCTTTGCAGTATAAAAATTCATCGGGATATTAGCAATCTGGATCCACACCTCAAACTTGGTGAGGAAATCAGCCGGTGGGTTAGCCGTCCATCGTTCCAAAAGCATTGTCCAATGATTATAGAACCATGGTCTATCTTTCAGAACAGTCTCCAGGTCTTCCTCTCTTTCAAAGATGAATTGAAACTAGTCTTTGGAAAGTGCAATACCCCGATCTCTGTTGTACACTCTCCAGATTCTCGGCATTGCTTCTATCATCTTTGCCATGGGTTGGCTGTCAGGGTTGAGAAGTCTCCCCAGTAAACTCAGAGAATTTGCATCAAACACCTTGAAACGGGGGTCATCAGGGAGATTGATGGGTTCATCATCTTCCAGTGACATCGAGCGGATTGCAGAATGGAGGAGATCCGCCATGAAATTCACTAGGAGGTCGCTGTGAATGAGGTGGTGCCGCCGTGTAGAGTCAAGGCGGGGAAGAAGGTCGACGGTTAGGAGAGTAAATTTGCAGTTAATGTTGCAGAATTCACTCCCTAATTTAAGGGAAATCATCTTAAAAATTTGGATTGATTGGCAAGGAATAGTTGAAAAGGGAAATTTTCTTTCTGGAATGTAAGACAAAATGGAAAGAATGAGAGCCGAGATATTGAGTTGCCTTAAAGACCGTCGTTGAGGAGCCGGTAAATATTCCACTCACTTTAGAGGGAAAAGGAAATACCCACCAAAGGGGAAAGTCGAGACCCTCTGGATGAAATAGAGAGGCCTAAGCGAAAAGGAGGAAATTTATGAATCGATTTACGTGTGCAATCATTTTTTTTTTTTTGAAATTTTCTCCTTTATTATTATCCTATATATTAAAGGGTGATTTGCATCAATATTAGATTGGAGAGAACAAATTAGGAGAATAGCATTAAAAAGCGGTCAATTCACTAAATAGCACAAGTCAACCTGAAAAAGTAGGTGGAAATTACCCCCTAACCCTTGCTCTCTGATTTTGGACACAACTTTTTATGGCAGACATTGGGACCACATCAACTTGGTATATTAAAACGATATCATCTTTTTTCTAAGATAACAGCCACAACTTTAATGTTTTTTCTTTTATTTTACAGAAAAATTAATATTTGTTGTCTCTTTCTCTCTCCGCCATACTTATTTTCTTCTTCGACATTCTTCTTTTCTTCTTCGTCATTTTTCTCATCCTTTTCTTCTCTGATTCTTTTGTTGAACACAATGTTAAACTTCAGGTGATGCAGCATTGATTTAATTAATCTAATTTTGCGATTTGGCTTTCCAGTTCGTATTTCTCAAAAAATTATACACGGTGTCCATTAAACCTAAGTTCATTTGAAATCTGAGATAACTTTATGATCATAGTTGACTATTTTTATAAAAAATAATTATCTGTTCAAAGTATGCGGTTATGTTGTAGACGACTATTTTCATAAAAAGCTACATCCTCTTAAGACGAGTATCATCTGACTGCGAAAGTGTGAGACAATATGGGCAATGCTTTCTATGGTTGCACCAAGTTCAAGGTAAATAAACATATATCAACTAGTTGCCTATCACTTCAATATAGACGTCCCTTTAAATTCTCATTTATTTGTTTATTGTGTTCATACATTTATAGTAGACGACTACTAATATATGATTATGTTTAAAATGTAGATTGCTGTTTTCGGGCACGATGAGTATGAAGTTTACAACAGGAAAATGGAAAGTATCATTTGCGCAGAGTATGCGGTTATCTAGTAAATGACCATTTGTATAAAAAAAACTGCATCTGCTTAAGACGAATATCATCTCACTGCGAAAGTGTGAGACATTATGGACGATACTTTCTGTGGTTGCACCAAGTTCAAGAAAAATTGACATGTACCAACTAGTCGCCTATCACTTCAGTATAGGCGTCCTTTTAAATTCTCATTCATTTGTTTTGTTGTGTTCATTTATTTATAGTAGACGACTACTAGTAGATGATTATGTTTAAATGTAGGTGGCTGTTTTCGGGCACGATGAGTATGAAGTTTACAACGGGAAAATGGAAAGTATTATTTGCACAGATTAAACAGTTATCTAGTAGATGACTATTTTTATAAAAAAGTTGCATCTGCCTCAAACGAACATCCTCTCACTCTAAAAGTGTAAGATGTTATGGAAGATATTTTCTATAAATGCATATTAAACCAAACATAATCATCTATTACATAACCGCATATTCTGATAAATTAATCATAGACATTAATAGTCGACTATTAACTAAGAAAAATGTTGACTTTCTCCCCACTGCAAAATCATGCAAGACTCCATTGTTCCCCTCAGATTCATCATCACCTTTGTCAAAGTTCATCTCTTCACCAGCCAGACAGATTACATCCAACTTATCCAGCTTCTCACATCCATCTTTACCACACGGTCATGTAAATCAGAGAAATAAATATTATTTCAAAAAATAGACAACTAAATCTTTCTAGTCTACTATTGCAATAACAATCTACTACCACTAGTAGACTACTACATGTTAAACAATTTATTGTCTAGTATTACGCAGTAGTTAATTATCAAATAAAAAGGAAAAATAATTGAATACATATTAAACCAAATATAGACGTCTACTACATGGTTGGTTTCAGGTATAACCAAATAAGATAGTTGACTATATTAATAGGTACCTACTCTAATAAGTAGACAACTACTTTATAACAAAATGCCATTTGTTTATGAGTGTGTCCTAGCTATTTATTGGTTACATGAACATAGTAATTAAGTAGACTAACTGAAAATGTTGTAGTTATTTATTGTATCGGTTGTCATTGTTAAGAGTAGACAATTACTAACAATGATACTCAATGTAATTACTATATACTTGTATAAAAAAATAGTTAGCTACTTAGATCTACAAAATCAAGAAACCCAAATATCGATAATAACAAATCTCTTCAAAACATAGCAGACACTTAGTTAACTACCGATAAAGAAAACTCTATTGTTCTCGTAAATAACTACTCAGGTGAAAAGTAATAGGAGACTATGTATTTCAAGTAGTTAACTATTATAAAGTGGACTACTTGTGATACATAGATCGTTGATAGACAGTCTCGGTAGGCGAGATCTACGAAACGTATATCCAAACCGGTTTGCGGATAAAGAAGATAAAGGAGGTGGAATGTAATTTCATCCATTTCATAATGAGCAGAAACGATTTCTACGGACTAACTAGAGGTAATTTATTGGCGAACATATTATATCTAGATCTGCAAAATTAAAGAGACAGTACGCGCGTGTTGGGAGTAAAATCAGAGTTCAGTACAACCACAACACCATTTACGACCATTTTTGCCCATCAACAAACGGAGAAACCCAGAAAAAGTAGTAGACGTACCTTTCGGTCTTGGTCGCGGAAGCAGGCTCCGTGCGTGTGAAAGACTTGTCGACCATTTTCGGATATCGAGGCTCGCCGATAAAACTGAAGAGGCTCGACAATAAAACTGAAGACGCTCGCCGATAAAGCTGAAGAGGCTCGCAGATTGAGTTGAAGCAAAGATGTAACCGGACAATAACTCGCCGTACACCAAGGTTAGAAGTCGTCGGAAATCAGAGATGAGAACAATATTGATGGTGCAGATGTATTTTGAAATTCAAAATGAATTTCAAGGACCAAATCATAGCTATAAAGGCGTGCAAAAACATATTTGAAATAAAGGTAAAGCTGGATGAAAGAGAAAGTTGTCAGATAAAAAGAAAAGTGTAAAAATGTCTACGTTATAAGACATATGCCGTGTTAGAGTCCAATGAAGCTAAGGGGGTATTGGGTACTTTCCACAAAATTAATTCCCACACATGCAAATACTTCTTGTCTTCTAGTTATGACACCAAATTTCCCTATATTAAATGAGAACCTAGTTTAATGAAAAAATTTGATTTGTTTTAATTTGAGTGGTTTATAAAAGCTTTTTTGCCAACGTCAATGATGACGTTTATTCCATGTCAAATGTGACATGGCAATGTCGCTAGCTCTGCGCAATTTCATTGGACGATGATGCTGATGTGTAATTTCTGTCCAAGTTTTTCTTATTTAAAAAAAAACAAAAGAATAGAAAATCATAAACGGATAAACATGCGGATCTTTATACCCGACCCGGCCCAATTATCTGTATTTTAAAAACACTCTTTGGCCCTATACGTTAGAGAAGCCCATTTCTAAATTTATTGAAATTATGGATTTTTAAAAACTTTTCCGCGTAAGAAAATAGAAATTATTCCCAAAATGGAAGATTACATAAGTAGTAGCAGGATTTACCGGAGTTAATGTAACAAAATATACAGAAATCTTAATTTTTCAAAAAAAACAAGAATTTATGTTACAGTTTAATACTAGACATCAATTTTGGCAATTAAATCAATTTGAATATATTGATTCTCAAATATTCCCGCAACAATACATACTTCTACACACATTCCGAATATCCATATTCTTCATTCATTTTCTTTCTCAAAATAATTGAAATCCCGCCTAACATCATTTTTAAAATGTTTTCATTAACTTCCTCTCCATTTACCACCTATCGTAAACCCTAAAACTCTACCATTCTCATTCACTAAAATGGCTTTAGTCCGCAGACGTTCAGCTGCTATAGTTCCATTTGCCAAATTAGATTAATCTAGTGAAATTCAGAAAGTTAGAGCTACTATATTTTCACTTTGGAAAGTCAAGAAAAGGCAGTCTGGCTTTGTTATAGAAATGGTATTGGTTGACGAAGAGGTTTGTATGCGATCTTATGTATTTTTCTTATTGCTATTTTAAGTAATCTATAGATTATATAGTAATACTATTTACGTGTGATTCACAGGGCACTAGGATTCACGCTACTGTTGATGAAGAATTGATCGCAAAACATAAAGGGATCCGTATTGAAAGAAAATCACTTTCTATTAATTGCTTCATAATTAAAGAATACTATGGTGATTTTAGGACGACTCCATTACCATACAAGATCGCTTTGTGCAGGACAACCCGTGCTAAGGAGATTAATGATTTTCCATCAGATTTGCCAGAGAAATATTTGTCTGATTTCAAGTCAATCAAGGAAGACAAACTCGACAAAAAC